GCATGTGTCTGTTGGGGGTTCCGACCAGAGAGCAGGTTGTCCTCAGTTGCCCCCATTGCTTTTCTTTCACAGAATGAGCAAGGCTGAGGGGGAAACAGTGGTGTCTGGTAGAATCCCTAACAATCTGGTTATCCCATATGTGGGTCTTCAAACTGATTTAAAACTGCCTGCAAAGATCAAGAAAACTGGGAAAATTGTTGAAACCAGATCATGAGTGCATGGAGTTCGTTTTGTCATTCTGTGTTTCTGTCTGTGTTGGAAAATTTCCACAAGAAGTGTTTTTAAAAAGTCACATTTGACCTAAACACATAAAATGAATGAAACGTTTGTGTTAAGACCCCAAATGTGGTCTGCAGGTTGGGACGGGCACCAATGCCAAGTAAGGTCATTTGTATGATAGAGAAAGTGTTTGTATTATTCAATATTATTCTAATACGCCTCTGAACCATTTCCCCCATAGATCTCATCACATGGAAAGAACAATCCAGATATTCCTGCAGTGGATGGCATTTAATGCTTTGTCTCACTAACTCTTTACTGCCTCATGAGGCAGCTGTGAGTTTGTTCTTGCTGATTAGGGATCTGCTACAGAAAATGGCAAACATGAATCTTCCAGCTTGTCCCTGGAATAACAAATTCTACAAGGGGGCCAGAGGGTGGTCACGTGTTCGAACATACCATGAACGGACTTTCATATGGTGACTCGCAGTGATATGAGACTCGGTTAAAGTTTAAATGATGATGGGGGGACTTCCCTGGTGGCGCAGTGGTTAAGAATCTGCCTGCCAATGCAGGCGACACGTGTTTGATCCCTGGTCCGGGAAGATTCCACATGCTGCGGAGCAACTAAGCCCATGCGCCACAACTACTGAAGCCCCTGTGCCTAGAACCTGTGCTCCGCAACACGAGAAGCCACCGCAATGAGAAGCCCGTGTACCGCAACGAAGAGTAGCCCCCATTCACAGCAACTAGAGAAAGCCCGCGGGCAGCAACGAAGACCCAACACAGCCAAAAATAAATAAGTAAATAAGTTAATAAAAAGAATGATGATGGGACCATTTTTTCCAGCTTGAGAGGGAGAGAAGGGAGGCAGGGCAGGGGGGCAGGGGGGCAGGGGAAGGGACTTGAGGGAGCGACTGCAATGTAGGGACCTTATTTGGATCCTGATTCAAAACAACAAACTATAAAAAAGCATTTACGAGACCATCAGAGATGTCTGAACACTGACTAGATCTTCCATGACATTCACGGATTCTAATTATGTTTTCAAGGTGTGATAAAAGTATTTCGGAAATGTTTTTAAAATAGTTTTTGTTTTGGGACTTCCCTGGTGGTCCAGTGGCTAAGACTCCACGCTCCCAATGCAGGGGGCCCAGGTTCAATCCCTGGTCAGGGAACTAGATCCCACACGCCACAACTAAAGATCCCAGGTGCCGCAACTAAGACCCGGCACAGCCAAATCAAAAAATAAATATTAAAAGGATAGTTCTTGTGTTTTTAGAGATATGTACTGAAACATTTACAGATAAAACTGGTTGACATCTGGAATCTTCCCTTACTGATAATCTCGGGCAGGGTGGTTGGGGGAGTGGGTGCAGGAAGAGAAGAAAGACTGTGGTTTCATTGTGGACGATGCAAGATGGTTGCAGGGCTCTGCTTTCGTGTGTGTGTGTGTGTGTGTGTGTGTGTGTGTGTGTGTGTGTGTGTG